TAAAAACCAATTCAAATGGGTTGATTAAATGATTGATTAATGAAATGATTGTTGATGATGAACTGTTGATGTTTTTTGCTTATTTATTTTTTTATTAGTTTGTTTGTATTTCTTGTGGGGAGGGGGATGGAGAGGATGGAGTCTGCCCTATCTTCATAAAGGGTTCTACACTCACCAGATGAACTAAGGACATGCTATGACCCGTACCAGACACCGCGACCACAATCGTCGTYAGTAGAAAAATCTTAATCCTAAAAGCAGACCAATAAACCAATTCGCCTAGACGACACGATGAARCATTCTGATCACTTRTTCGATTTGCTCCAATTTGTTCGATCGTCTTCAAAGGTTTCGAACGCATCAGAAGAGATACTGCGAAAGGAATAAAAGAGAAWCCAGCCATAGCGAGCATCGAACCTCTCCAGTCTAAAGCTTGGTTTAAATTTTGCACAACAGGGCTCATGGCCAATAATGAAGAACCCCCACCAACTGACACTATTGATGTTGCTTCGAATTTATACTTKTCGAAATACAATGTAACAGCAACCATTGTGCTAAAGTATGCAAAGCCCACTGCTGAACCTAAAACTATTCCAAATGTCACAATCAGTAAGCCGATGTTTGGTACAAATGAAGACGCAACGAGTCCACTTGCAGACGCCAGACTTCCCAAAAACAAGATTTTTCGACTTCCAAAATGATCACATAGTTTTCCAATTAATGGACCAAGGAGTCCGCTGTTGGCTACAGCAATTGAACCAGGAACAGCTACAAGCAAATGAAACAATTGCTTTTTTTTATTTTTTCAACAATTAGGATTTTCAACACTCGGCAAGCATCCATTGGGTAGCTAAAATARCAGAAAGATTAGTTCTAACACTCTATTGCTCTATATTCTCTAACATCAGCTGTTACGTACCATGCAAGATAGGGTAGATGAACCGATAGATTTAATAATTTTGTTACTATGAAGTTCTTGTAAATATGACCTACTCCTGTAATACAGTTTTAACTGCAAAAGGACGTTATAAACTTGAATTTATTAACTCTTAGTATCTTTCTTTCGATAAGCACTATTTCAGTTTTGTTTTCGGTGCTCGAATATCGATCCTTAACGGTACGGAGTCGGCTCTGGGCCCTAAAAGATACGCGAGGAATTTATTTTCGACCCTAATCGACCCCCCGGGTGTTTACGATCTCATTTCAAGAAAACGAGAAAACGAGATATAGAAATAGGTCAATGACCGGCATGCGCTGGTAATATCATATAGCGGCTAATAATTTTTGGTTAATCTATATTATACATACCCACAGACAGCCACTTGACTTTCGGCTTAGCTCAAAAGGCTTATAGGAAGGATGTCAATCAGTATAAACACGCAACGAAATTGAAAAAAWTATAAAATGTGCACTCTTTGAACTGGGTGGCAAAATTCCCTATCTTTAACTCGAATATGTCGTATATAGCAATCGGGGTTTTGAGGGATTTTTCCAATCTTTCCTTTCTTTTCCGCATTTTATAAATTAGAATTATTAACATCATTTTTTTCATAAAATTTGAATTTATATATT